GAATTTGCGAGCACTGCTTCATCGAGATTGTCGCGGGCAAGCTGTGTCGCCATCATCAACATGGCCTCTGCCTTTTCCTTGTTCCAGTTTAGAGTTTCCGCCTCTATGGCGTTGTGTAGAGCGGTAGCAGCCACCCTCAGAACAGACTCCAAAAGCGGCTGGCTGTGGTAGTCGGCCCTTCCTGCGGGGCTTTCAACACAACCCATTACCTTGCCACCGTGGCACAGCGGAATGTAGAGTGTCCCAGCAATTGTAAATCGTTCGCTTGATGACACAGCCTTTCCAAGTGGTGTGCTTTCGTCCACAGGCGCTGCTACCCCATTGACGGGGTCCAGTAGCAACATATCACCAGGGTCGAGGTAATATGTGCGTGTATAGCTTGCACGGAGCAGAGCGGAGAGCTGGTCGTTGAGCACCGTCAAAACATCTTTTATAGGCAGGCGCAAATCAATACACCTCTCCATTAATTTCGTGACGGAGTCAGTAGGCGTTTGAAACGCCGCACCAATCGCCGGAAAACTTGGAGCCACATCCACGCCCTTTACCCTCCTTGTATTAGCTGCATGTTCGCCTGCTGCATTCGGCAGAAGATCCTGAAACCTCTCATTGAGTGCACGGAATGCCGTGATCTCCGTTTCGTCCACTGGAAAGCTGCAGCGCTTATAACGGGCAAGAATAACCTCGCAGAGTGTCAACGCCTCTAGAAGATGACGGCCTCCGGTTTCCCCCATGATGCACACTCTGTCCTTTTAAAAAGAAATGATATTATCACACCTACAGAAATGATGCGAGAGACTAGACGAAGAAAAGAAAAAACACCGGAAAGTCATATGTAGCGTACTCCTCACATTTGCTGAACTACAGTCGTGCGACTTCGCTCAGGCACCAACGCAACCATCACCAGAGTCAACAGCACTAGAAGAAGTATGCCGAAGAGGAGAGAAAAAAAAAAAGAAAAACGGCATTTACCGCTTTCTTGCCATCCCTCCTCCATTATATTTCATATTTCCCCCCACCGTAACTTACATAGCCGTTGAGAATTGAGGATAACGCCTTCACATTTCCTTCTAGAAGAATCAAGTAAACCGAAGCTGGGTATGACAAGGAAGCAAATCTATCCCTCTCCCCCGCTACCACTTTTTTCCCCCTTGAATCTCTAACCTAACAAGACGAGAAGATCCGCATTTACCACTTACGTCGAAAAAGAGCACGCAACGCACCACATCAAAGAATTAAGAAAGAAAGAAACAAAGCCACAAATATACGCATCGATCATCTGTACACTTTTCTTTCAGCTAAGCATACTTTGTCAAGCCAAAAAAAAAATGAAATTTATGGTATTTCTCTTCACTTTCTTCTATAGGTCCGAATGGTAAAAACGAGCAAGAATACATAAGGACCCGATCATAAACATCAACTCATAGGAACATTGCACTCCCTGTGGAGCTTGGCCTCATTAAACAACCATCCCGCACGCAATATATACACCTCATTAAGAAACAGCCTTAAGCATTCGTTCCCATTGCGCGCGGTTGCTCGTTACACGATCCACTGTCCACTCCATGCCGCTGAGGCAAGCGTCCACAATCTTCTTGAAGAATGGACCGGCAACAAAGTCAATAAAGCCGATTTGGCCCTTCGCCAGCTCAGTATTCTTTGAGCGGTCAAACATTGGCAAGACTTCAACGCCCTTCTCCTTCTCCATATCGCCCTGCCGGTAGAATTCCTCAGTCACAGCCATTGCCCACAGACGCGATATATCGAACGGTTTGGTCACGTTGGATACATCACCAGCCTTCAGCAAAATCTCCATAGTTAAACGACGGACATTTTCATCATCTTTTGCATAAGACTCTTTGTTCGTTGATAAAAAGTGTTCCAAGGCACTCCCATGCTTTGCCATGTCAGTGGCAAGCACACAATCGATCATTGCACGGTAGGCAGAGGTACGCTCGGCATCATCAAGACCTTCAAAGACATCTGAGTCGGGATCAGAGAGAATTTCAACGGCAAGGTTGCAGTGGTGCACCTCCAGCACTGACGTGTTGCCACTCGCGCTTGACAAAATACCAAGGGGCGACTCTGTCTTGAGGTAGAAGCTGTTGTTCAGACCCATATGGTCGAGGTCGTGCACCAGTGCCGTCACCAGAAGCACAAAGCATTCCAATTCCGTCAGTTTCTCACAGGCCGCGCCCTTGTACAGGTAGGTGTAGATGGTCTGACATACATCAACAACGTGGTAGAAGTTATGGTACGGCACACTGCGGTACTTCTTGCGGCATTGCAGAATAAAATTCAGCAGCGTCACATCACGGCAACGGAACTTTTGCGGGAGACCTGTTCCCAACAAAAGTCGGTATGCGACCGCAGCGGCAGCATCAAGAGGCTGCTCCATTTCCTCACGCACCTTGAATAAGTCAAAGTTTTCGCTTGTTAAATCATACCGGGAAATGTCCGTATTTAGGACAGCGTCGCGGAACGACTGTTCAATTGCAGCCAAACGCTTACCCCGGAACGTACCTGCCCTTTTTCCCAATAGAGTACGACGTTCGTTGAGCTCCATCATCTCACGACCAGCATTAACGGCGAACTCCAGCAGATGTGAGTTGTTGATGGAAATGCCAGCAAAAAGGGAGAACACACGGAACGTTTCGCGGTCCTTGGGCGTGAAAACAGTCACTTCCCCAGCCGGGCCCAGTTTGTTCACAAGCTGCACCACAGCAAGGATCTCGCCATTCAGCACAATAGGCTCACATAACAGGGTCTGTGTGCGGTATCCAA